GAGAGAGAGAGAGAGAGCTGGCACAGCAGAGGGGGGACGAGTAGAAAAACATAATTGAAACTCGCACAGTTTTCATTAATTTTCCAGCAGGCGATGGCTGGCGGGAAAACCGGTGAAGCGGCGGCCTGTGTGCTGTGTCGGATGACTATGTAGACATTAAGGCTAAACACAAACCATTTAATTCCCTGTTTAATCATAATTTAAGGCACGCTTCAACGTCACTCAAAGTCAGTTATCCCCCTGGAACCCCAAGCCCTGCAGTTGGCTCTTCCTTCACTTTGCCCCTTCTATAAAACTTCCATTGCCTCTTCTACGCCGTTTAATTTATGCAACGTTTGTCGAGTTTGTCGTCGCTCCGAAATTTGCTTTTGGCCAAAACGGGAAACGTATTTTATTTTTAAAAATATTCTGCATTGCAGAGCGGCATTTTGTTGAGGGGGGCGGGCCCAAAATATGGATCTAAAAGGGTTACAAGGGGAGCGCTGGAGAGCGAGATACAATGTCGGCTTAGTGCAATGCGTTTGATGTGGCCTTTTTGCTTTCATTTTTACAGCTTTGTTGTTGAATTAAAGTTTAATACGACCTAACCCCACGCATCCCTTCATCCCGGCAGGTGTTTAACTCCCTTTTGAGCTTTTCAGGATGGCCCATAAAAAGTGAACACTTTTTTTGGGGTAAATAATTTTGTTTGGTTTCGAATTTTATTGTAGTGGCGTTTTATTGGGTCGTTTGCCAGAAGTCGCATAATAAATATTTGATGTGTGAATATTCAAACAATGATTGGGGATCGTTGGACTCTCTGCCAGACATTCATTTTATTCCCGAAACTTTCTCATAGCATCCCCAAACACAAATCTTTTACGAACTAAATGCCAAATCCCAGAGTGCCAATGCTTGGTTGGGGCACCTGTAAGGGAATTTCTATGGCAAGTCATGCAACATGCAGGCAGAGCTAATGCATGCCACAACATCCACAGCAACAACAATAACAACAACTGGAACAGAAACGCAGAAAAAGAGAAAAGAGGAGAGAGCGGAGAGCGGAGAGAAGCAAACACAACCGCATAATGTAAACGAGCGAATGCCATGATTAGCAGACATTTTGTGTGGGAAATTAAAATAAATGGCCAGTGGTAAATGGGCAAAAAATGTGCTGCCAAAAGCGTAAACACACAATTCTGAGCGACACCCATCCGGCCATCCGCCCATCCGTCAGTCGTTCAGCTCATTCTGTGGAATCTGCCCAAAGCGATTCAATTTATGCACGTGGCATGCGTTTCATATATTTTCCCCGATTCAATTAGAGCGCTCAATTTCAGCGCTGACAGCTAGGAAGCATCGAATTAATATTGAAACGCATTGAATAATAAATTATGCTGTGTACGAAACGAAAATATTTATTCATCAGTTTTAGAGTTCATTAAAAATGGTCGCTGGGCGTAAATCCAAAATGCAAAGCCTGAAAGTAGGCAACAGTTTTCCGGTCGGTCCGCTGAATGGAATCGGACTTCGTTAGCATATATGTTTATTTAAATTAATTATTTAAGTCAAATAATGCTGTCCAAATGTATGCTAAATACGAAAAATGGCAGCAGTAAAAGTAATTCATCTAATTTTAATTTGTAATACATCAAAAATTGAAATTAATTGAAAAAGAAGCTAACATACCCGTATGTGCAAAAGTAATTGATTTTGAAAGCAACCATAACTGGATTTATGGAACTAAAGTTAATTCAAATCTACCCGAAATACATTGAATTTACATTTTAAACCAATCAAAAAGCGAACAAGAAAATGGTTCATATTCAAAGCTCTGCACCAAAACAAAGCGCAACGAAATTTGTACACTGCTAATAGACCTAATTAAAACGCACTTAAATAGATTTTCATCTTTACAACCTCTCCCGTGACGATCATAAAGAGTTAGTTCACTGCGTTGGCCCTTCCTTGATGGGGCTTATCAAGAGAGTACTTCACACCCAACTATGGCGCTTACAGTAATTAATTAAAAGGGTCCGAGAGTTCGCCTGCACAGGAGTGTCTGTTTATGGCCTTCTTCTCCGGTGGATGGTGGCCGTTGGCCGTGGCCTGGCCCCAACAGCTCTTATTCGCGTCGGGTCATTAATTTATTTTTAAGAAGCGCATAATTGCCCGGCAACTGCGCCAGGAACTGGAACTGGAGCTAACACTGCAGCCGGGCTGTATGTTCACTCTGGGGTGCCTGGATAAGCCGCTCCAGAGGCAACCTCCGATTGCAGCAGGATTCATGTTGGGGTATGCTGCGGTCCGTTTGTTTGTTTATCGCTCCTTTCATGCAACATAAATCGCCCGGCTTAATGCGAGAATGTGGCCAAACAACAAAAGGTGCAGCAGCAGCAGCAGCTGGAGGTAGCAGCAGGAGGCGGCAGCAGGAGGAAGTAGCCTGGGGCAAATTGCCAGGTGCAGTCCTGTGGCATGTCCGTCTGGCAGCTTCTCTTACCTCGCCAGCAGGATGAGTAGTTGAGTCGCCTTTGTCGCTCTGGTGTCGACGACTTCGGACATGAATCAAAAACTTAATTATTTTCAGGCGCGCGCGATGGAGCAAAATGCTGTGCCCCCGGCGAACAGCAAACAAAGTGTTTGCTGAATGCGACATAAATCGGCTGCCAGGACATGCCTGACATTTTGACGCAGCTCGCAAAATGTTTACAACTCCGCTGCAACACAAAAAACAATCGTAAGAATATTTACAGTCAATTTGTTGGCCCCTGACGTTCAGTCCTCTACGACTACGACTACCACCCATTCCCCGGCGTGCTCCAAGTGCCATAAACCCCTTTGTGTGTGTGTGTGTGTGTGTGTGTGTGTAAGAGATACACAAAGGAGCTGCCGAGCGGAGCGGAGTGGTGTCCTATTCCTGGACTTGCACCTGCTGCGTCGCTCCACTGTCGCTGACAGTTTTGTTTCCCCTTGGCGAGGGCATTTATATGTTTTTAAACAAATTTTAAGAAGGACGCAGAAACGGGAACATGACTGGCTACTCCGCCCACAAATGCGTTGCAAGAACAGCCACAGAGCAGTGGCAGGAAATCGGCACTGCGAATGGGGAGTGGGACTGGGAGTGGGACTGGGAGTGGGGCAACACGTTAGACCAAGCGGAAACTTGGCTGGCAACGGCATAAACTGGTTACATTGTCAGGCGCAAAAAAGAAAAAACACGACGAGGAACGATACGAAATGAAATGAAAAACGAAATGAAGTGAAAGGAGCGTAGCGGAAATTGCAGGAGTATATACCCAACCCCCCACCCTCCCTTGCTCCTTGCGGAGCAACAGGATGCATATAAATCATTGCAGTGGACATAAAAAATATCTGCACGATGGCAATAAAACATACTCTGCATATGGCATCAGGCGGGGGAAAACTGGCGGATCTGTCACATATTTATGATGAGAAATTGCCACTCGAGCGCATCAGCGCGACTAACAGACACCCTGTACGCCATGCCGGTTAAGTGCATCCCGTTAAATGGCATTAAATTGTGTTTTATGTCTCAATATTAACCAGCCTCGCGTTCACCTCGGCATCATCCAATTGTGGTGGAAGGCACCGCAAGCGAACCGCAGACAGCATGGCATGGCCAAGTGGCCATCAAGTTGCAGGCTCTGATTCAATTTGACTTGATGTTGCATGTTGCGCCATTTGAGCCATGTGGCTGCTAGTGGTGCCTGTGACTGTGCCTGTGCCTGTGCCCTGTGCTGCCACTTGGAATGGCAATGGCAATGGCAATGTCGCCAAAGGGCGACACATAAAAAGCAGCCTCTGAATGGTCCATCCTGCTCTTACTGCTGCCTGCTCCTGTGGGGGCGCACATGTTCAGCTGTTGAGCAAAAACATTTGACATTTCTAGTGTTTGCTGTGGGACGGGTAGGGGAACCACAACAGACACCCAAGAGAGAGAGCGGGGCGACAGTTTAAATGGCAAAGTAACAGTGACAAACATACATGTCATATACAGATATGGATCCTATATATATATGTGTACTATAACGATTTTGCCAGGTTCATTTTGTTTGCTCTGATTTTGGGCATTGGAGTTTTGATGTTCGCTTTAACTACTTCCCGCCATTCGACTATAAAATGGGCTAATAAATCTATGCTAAAGGTACTTTTGAGTGCATTTATGTAGATTCAATGAGAATGAGAGATCTGGTACTTAATTCCTACTAATGGCAGTTACAATATCCTCTCTCCTCTTGCCAGAACATTTCTTAGTTAGAGTATTCAAGCATCGCTTCATAACTACTTAGTTATCGCTGTGGCTTTTGTTTCGTTTTTCGTTTTTCGTTTTTCGTTTTTGTTTTTTATGCCACCTTCTTGTGCACACTTTAGCACTTGTCTGCACATCTCTATAGGTACTACATATATATACAAATACAGCTGTATAGAGCCATTGCCTGACGTGTAGTGCTCACTTGCCCCATCATCCTCGTCCTTGCCCTGGCCCCGTCGTCGCCATATCCACTTGAAATCTGTCAACTGCAACTATTTATTAAATTATATACTGCCATTGTTAAATGTGAATGGCTGGCACGGAGACGAAGCAGGAGACGCAGACACAAGCGAGTGGCAGTGCCACTGACACGGCGGGCTTTTCTCTCTATTTCTTTGCATGCAATTTAAGAGCAGAGTCTCGAGCTTTATTGCGTAGAATGCTAAATGCGATTTGTTGCTTATCTGTTTACAGATTCCGGATTGGCAGTGGCTTCCCCTGAATGTCGGCGCCATGCCACATACATTTGTCGCCAATGGAGCCAGCCACCGCCTCCTGCCACACGTTCGGTGGCAGCATTAGGCAAATTGACAACAGCTTAAAACGCTTTGAGGCGGCTTAAAGCACAACGGGCAGAAGGTGAAGGGCGGCAAAAACCTCCTGTCAACCTCTAGGATTCTCTCGCCTGCCTCTGTTGCTGGCAGTTAAAACTCCCACTTGACGAGGAGCGCAAAAAGCAGGCTGGAGGTGGAGGTGGCGGTGGAACGGAACGGAACAGGAAAAGGAAAGGTAAAAGCCAAAGCAACCGAATAGACGCAGCACAATGAGTGTCGAACTGGAGGAGGAAGAGGAACGCATTTGCCTCAGGTGAGTGCTGACAGTTTGGTTGAGTGTTGTGGATTGAAGGGGATGCATTCTTGAAGCTTGTGGCTAATGGATTCCCTTGCAGCATAAATAGAAAATAAAGAGTAAATCTACCATCTGTGCGAGAGAAATTGGTATTTGTTTTCGTACTTTTCTATTGACAATAATCAATTAAATGGGACTACAACTCCCCTCCCCCCTGCCGTGGCACAATGTGTTATCGAACACAATGCCATTTTGTGGCACATGAAAAGCCAAGGCAACAAAAGGCGGCAAACACCAACAACAGCCACTACAAAGGCGCCGGGGAGGGGGCTCAATCTCATATTTCAATTATGCTTTATAAATGGCAACCAACAGACGACGCGTCTGACAAAGCTGCTGTCTCCGTTTCCCCACCCTACCCTACCCTACCCATCTGCGCGTCGACTCCGATTTCAGGCTACTCGATATACCCCCCACCCGCCGAGATCAATGGACTCGCTTGAGGGACTCACGCAATCCTTTAAAGGGCATCGAAATGTGTGCAGCCAGCGAGCGCGTAAGTGCTCTGAATTCACGGGCCAATTAATGGGTAACTAAAAGTTGGCTATACAAATGGCCTGGGAAATCGCGCATACGCCACGTGCTCTCTGGCAATTCACTTTGCAGCAATAAGTAAAAAAAAAAAACAAGTTAAAGTGCGACATTGGTGACATTGCAACTGGGGAATACCCACTACTTGGGGACACTCTCCTAGAGCCGGAAAACTGAAAACCTCTCCTTGAATGAGTCAAAGGAAGCTGCCAAGAATTTGTTCTCCTATTGCTGGGGGCTACAATTATTATGAATGCGCCTTTATATGAGCCATCCTTTGGCCTATAGCATACACTCCAACAAATACAATATGACCTTGCTGCCCATCAGGTATCTAAACCATAAAAAGTGCTTGCAGCAAAGGACTAAAGGACTGTGCTGCCCGCTCGGGACTTAATCGAATTATGCATTTTTAATTGCATAATAATGCACAGACAAGACAATCAACTCGACTTGTCGGTGAGGGCTTTATGTGAGGGCTTTATGTGAGGGCCGCTTTAATGTTGAATCATGGAATCACTGGACGAACTGCATTCCAGGAAAACCTCTCACAGGCTGCTTTAATATATGTAATTTTGGCAGCAACCTTTTTGGCCTGTTCGAACCATTTATGCAGCTCAGTGGGGGGTTTTTTTTGAAGAAGGAGCAGCAGGAGCCAGCCGCTGTAGTTGTCAGCAAAGACTTGAAATGTCTGTTTAATATTATGCAAATTTTCTTTTCTTTCTATGCAAATTTTTTACTTGAAGTAAACAACAAGCGACAAAATCAGAAACAGAGACTGGGAGAGAGAGAGAGAGAGAGAGAGAGGTGAGGCGACAACAGAAACTAGGTAAAAGTGAAGCGGATCTCCGCAGGCCCATAAAATGGGAAATTTTAATGACAAGCGACAAGATAAATGCGACTTTTGGAGGCGCCGAAACGGTAAATACCCTTGCAGAACATCAGCTATGGGTGGCTGGAAATATAACTAAAGTTTCCTTTAGACTGAAGGCGTAATTGGCACAGAAACATTCAGGCGTTCGTGACTGTAGAGGCTAATTAATATCCAATGCTTGGCTTCAGTTATGTCTCCACTTTGGCAAACGTCTAATCAAAGTCTTCATAGCCTACTCAAAGGTGCACCCATAAAGGTGAAGCCATAGCTGGCAGGAGCTGGCGGCAGCAGCAGACATTTCGCGACTTTTGAAGGGGGGCAGAAAACTTTTGCTGCAGCCCGAAATTACGTCTATGCAGCGGGGAAGCTAATTAGTTAGCCGCAAACATAAATGGCCGTGTCCTGGCAACTTTTATGAGGAACACACACTCCCAAGCCTCTGCCCATGCTCATGCCAAATCTGACTGCTGATTTCGCATTTCCTTTTAAGATCTCCCTGGTAAATGTGAAATGTTCTTCGAATACCATATCAGGCGGAGGATTTTGCGGCGCGAGTCCCGGGTCCGGGCGCACAATTTGTCAATTTTAATGGCTTTCGAATACGCTGGTGGCTGGCCGGATGGGAAATACTTGGCTACTTGATTGCTGCTTTAAAAAGTGGCCACTTAAACGGCTTATTGCCTTTTATATTTTTTGCTTGTGGGGCTCGCCCTCCGCTTTGGCTGCTCTTTGCCACAGAGACTTTGATTGCTCGTTCCAGCCCGCACACCGGACACCGGACATGCCACCGCCGTGCGATGATGTGTTTACCCAAATCAGAAGCAGCCGTCAAATAAAACGCTTTGATTTGAGCCGCAGCAGCAAGAGAGCGAGAAAAAGGACATCAAAGACGAGACGTTCGTCCAGCCTAAGCGCATTTTGTGCATAATAAGGCGTAACAAGGCCGAGCACGAGCACATTATGAACATAATGGCATTTTTAAGAGTCCAAAGTTCCAGTTCCAGTCCCATTCTGATTGATCCTGCATACTCCAGTCCAGTGGGTGCGGTACGGGCTGGGGACACCCTTCTCTGGCATTGTCCCTTTTGTTTTTTTATGGGTTTCTTCACTCCACAGAGCCGTGCCGAGCCGTTGAGTAATTTTTTCTATTTTCTGCTTTGTTGCGCGCGCTCTCACTCTTTCACTCTTTGTGTGTCTGTGTCTGTGTCTGTCTCTGTGGATTGCACACCCATGTTGACCAGTGTACAACATTAACCCAAATCCCACAGACACACAGACAAAAGTTGGGCGATATTAAGTGGGTCCTGCGGCGGAGACGGTAGCCAGGCGACTGCTTGAGGGGCATTTTATGTGCTTGAACTCTTAGCTAAATGAAGTAGCCATAGACATGGCCATAACCAGGCGGTATACACTCATGGCTATGGCCAGCAAGTAGTGCACTGTCATTGGCTGTGGGTTGATTCCTGCTGTTGGATTTCCTTTTGAGGGCTAAAGGGACACCTGCTGCTGCCGCTGCTGCTGCTGCTGCTGGTATCCATTTTTGATGATGGCACTCCTTGTCCTTGCTGGCCTCGTGCCGCAAATTAATTATCAATGATTCCATAAGCAGTGCTTATGAGGGGGGGAATAGTTTTTGGGGCTAATTTTTATGATCCCAATCAATCAAGGAATGTGTAGCATAGCCATAGCCTTGGTAATCATCTTCCACTAATTATCTCTAAATATATTTACACACGCGTCGCAGGAGAGGCAGCCCAGTCATGGCAACGCATCCTGCCAGCTGTGTTGACGGCCACGCCCATGACAACACACAGCACACCCCACGCCCACTTGCAAGGGCTTAAACGCTTAATAAATAAAATAAGCAGCTTGCCCAGAGAGACAGAGAGGGAGAGAGAGGGAGAGGGAGAGAGAGAGTCATCGCTTCCATCGGTTGCCATATCGATGGCTTTAGCCTTGGCAAGTAGTTAGTTATAGCGCTGATGTTTCTGCTTCTGGAGGCATGACAATAATGCATGGAAAATGTACACCCGCCCCGCCCCGACCCCGCCCCCGTTCGTGCCCCCTCTGGGTTAAGCATAAATATGTCAAGTGTTAATTGCTGCCACTTAACGCAGAGCACAAACACAAACATAACCACACACACACACACACAGAGGAGAGAGGGTAACGTGAGAGACTTGTACGTGTAAATATGACTTTAATCTACTTAGCTAAGCAGCTGCTTGGCTCTCTGAGCCTCTCCCCCAAGACTCGCTTGGGTTCGAAAGTCGCAGAATACACAAAGCAAACAAAGCCACAGACACAGACACAGATGCGTACACACACACACACATGCAGACGCAGACGCAGACACAGACACAGCCAGAGAAACGGATACGGATACGGATACGGATACACCCCCTCCAGCACACCACCACACTTGTTACACACCCAATAATGTGCTTTAACAAGTTTCTTATGGCCATAAATTCAACAAGCCAACAAAAGCTCATAAAAAGGGCTCACTCTGCCGCCTCCGTCTCCGTCTCCGCCTCTGCTTCCACATCCTGTGTTGCTGGGTCCCCCCGGGTGCTCTAAAGTGGGTAGGTGGAGTGGGGTGGGGGTGAGCTGATTGGCGACTTGAAACTAAACCCCCCAAAGGGCTGTCTATATAAATAAAAGCCAGCAGTGCAGAGACATGCCTTTGACATTTCATATCTCTGGGCGACCAACGAACACAGCAAAGTCCTGACAGTCCTGAAATTTCGTAAAACCAGTGACGGATCGGATCGGAAGCATAAAATAAAATACAACAACTACTGCACGTGCTGCCAGCAGGCAAATTGTGCAAAGGATACAAATCTCGTTGCGCGATCAGCACAGAAATACCTGCTCCCCGTCCTGCTATCCGCTGACAACGGTTCTCCCTGTCCCTTGGAGAGCCCACACAAATCCTCCCTGCTGAATGCCGCTTAAATAAAGCCATCAATTGTTGATTATCGTGTGGAAGGGTCCCATCATCATCATTATCGCTGTCATTATCGCTGCCGGGCCAGTCAAGCAACCAAAACTCTCGTCAATTACCATATCAGCAGCAACAATGTTGACCAAAACTGATTTCACTTAGCGTCCCAGAGAGGCAGAGACACACACAGAGAGAGCGATAGAGAGAGAGAGAGAGAGAGGAACGAAGAGAATCGAACTCCCTCCCCCAGCGCCCCGAAATGAAGCTCCAGAGTATCATATTATATCCAGACGATGGCAATTTTAGTTTCGCTTAGTTGCCAAACGCCAGTTCAATGGGAAAGACGCGAAATATATATATGTATATATATGTATGAAATAAAAGCGCCACTGAAGTGAAAAATAAAACCAGTTGAGCAGACATAACATATGTGCATTGCTTATAGATCTAAACGACATCATTAATAATATACCAAAACGATGACGTAGAACCCAGCTCCGACAGGGCAAGGCAAGGCAAAGTGAAACATTTCAAAACGGAGCAAAGTTGTGCAAGTGCAAGTGCAAAACTATGCTGGGAGAGGGAAGTGCCCCATCCCCGTACCCGTTGGATTTATCGATTTTATTTTTTGAATATTGTTGCGCCATTATCAACACATTTATATAGGCGATAATTATATTAGAAGTTTATCTCGTACCATCCATCGCCCATCGTTTTGCTGGCGATAAACCCGACTCGCTTCGACCGGATTCGTGTGCGTCGTGGCTTCTCTGTTTATCTCTGGGATTTTTACTCATCCACCCATGGTATAACTTAAGCCGCAACACCCATGCCGCAACTTTGTCCACTCCAATCGAATGCCCAGCTGTGGGCGAACACTGTGTGCCAGCCAATGTGTTAATCAATGAAACGGAACGTGATCTCTTTGGCTCCAGGCATGTGATATCTATCGTTTTATTGGACTCAAACTTACAGGTGTGTAAACAGAAATCCATCTCCATACGCCCAGCTGGAGAGCTGCTAAGTGTCGCTTGGGTGATTGAATCATTTAAAGGTGCTAAAATCACAGTCAGACCGTTCACTGTTCACCTGAACTGCGGCGATCGGCGATCTGTTGTTCCCAATTGTTGCGAAAATTATTTGTTGGGGAATATTCCATTTGAATTTTATTTGTATTATATACAAATAAATTGCATCAGCAACAGTAATTTTGATGCCTATTTTCTCCCTTCGTTTAAACATTAATCAGAACATTGTAAGGGTTGTAGAATTATGCATCATTTTCCCTTTATATAGCCAAAATAATAACTGATAAAACGTTCGAGTGTGAATAGATAAAGCTAGCCGATAACCACAAACAGAGAGAGAGAGAGAGAGAGAGAACAGAACTGTGGAGAGTGAGTGCCAGTGAGGGTCCTACACATTGATTGGGTGGGACAGTAAATTTGATCCACGCTGTCTGGCACTGCACGCACCTCCCTCCCCACCCGCAAAACAATCCAAAAATAAACTCACGTCTCTTTTTCCGAGCAGATAAGATTTAACATCAATTTGATAATAACTGGCACATAATGAAAGCCTAACGAGCAAAAGCGAAAGTAAATGAAGTACAATTTGATGAGAAAATGCCCAAAATATTGCAGAAAATTAAATTAAAGCATAAATACTAAATGGAAAATGGAATGGCACAATCGATATGCTCCATATATATGTATGTATATGCCTGTATATGTATTCAAAGATATTCAAACATAGCTAAGGTTTCACTGCGATTTATGGGGCGTGTTCCTGCTGCTGGACTTCAATGTAGTTTCGTTCTTTTCGTAGGCTCCGCCTGCTCCCTTCTGCTTGCCCTGAAAAGTATGCTATATTCTGGCATGGCAAATGCTATGTGCGAGTGTGCGTGTGTGTGCAGTCGTGTATGTAAGTGTCCAAATGCTAATTTGAATAATGACAACGACATCAACGCGCGTGCCATGCTACCGCGCCATTTTGTGTGTGAGTGTGTGTGTTTCCGCTGCGGCATCGCATCGGGAATTTAGGTTCAAATAATCTGCTATAAAGCATACGCACCATATCCGGTGTGACAGGGGGAGCGAGGGGAACACGAGCTAAAACAACAGACAAATAAACAAGAAATTATTCAACAGCTACCGAGAAAGTGAGCACAGAGACCATGGAATGCTCTTTCTTTAGAAATGCATAAAAAAAGAGTCACCAAGAGATTTGAATATTCTCTGCCACAATCGTAAAGCAAACGTAAAGCTAAAAACACTCAACAATTTATTGGCTAGTCCCTTCAGCGCTTCCCAAGAAATGATTCACCAACTTTTGGAGTGTCAAAGCGCCACAGCAAAGGACATTTGATTGCTCCCTCTTCTAGCCATAAAATCAAAGAAGCATTCAAGGGCTTATGGCGGAATTCACCCCAGAACCAGACCCAGTCCCAGGCCCAGGCCCAGGCCGAGACGTTAGACATTCCTCAGAGCTTGGCAAATTAATTTACAATTCACACAACTTCCGATTTCGGTGCCACGGGGGGGAAAGGGCAATGTTTACGCTCATTAAAATGCAGACACAGAACTTCAAAGGGAACATTTAAACTTGAGGGGCAACTCCATTCCCACCTTTAATGTCTTGCAGAAGCGCGGAGGAGGAGCAGCAGCCCAACATGGATGACGACAAGCTGGTGTCGGATGAAGTGCATCTGCGACAGCTGAGCGCCACACCTTTGTGCGCCCTGCAGCAGCGCCGGCAGAGCAACACTCTGACACATTCCGCCCCGCCAGAGCTCACGCAACGCTCTGCCGATGGGGACAAGAAAGAGGCGGATATGGAAGTGGAAGGGGATTTGGAGAAAAAGGCGCCACCAACCACCGATCCAGAGGAGCAGGAGGACAGGGTGGTGCTGCGACGCGCCGCCAACAAGGGCGCCATCGCCTTGGCACAAATCGACGACCTAAAACTGGAGGGCGATGACGACGACGACGACGAAGATGGCGATGGCGCGGGTCTAAGTAATCCCGCAGCGCAAACCACGGATGATGAGCAGATTACGGCCACAGCCACAGCAACATCCCCCACCACAACAGTGGGACAAGTGGGAGCCGCAGCTGACAGAGGAGCAGCAGCAGCAGCCACATCCTCCTCGGAGGTAAGTCAATATGTGCCTACGCACTTAGAACTAATTAAAAGCGAAACTAAAACCGAAAACAGCAGGATGCAGCAACCATAGCCACTCTAGCAGCAGCCATGGCATCGGTGGCACCACCGGACATGTCCAAAATCCCACGACTGCCCGGCGACGGTGCCCAGACGGACGACAATGGCGACCTGCCACCCTCGCTGCGTGCCTCGACCACATCAATTTTGTCCAATTTGCGCAAGAAGCAGCAGGCCATGCTCGCCGGAGGCGGCGGCGGCGGCGGCCCCAAGGGGGGCATGGTCAAGCAGACCCCACTACGCGTGCAATCGGTGCGGATTGTGGAGGCGAAGCGAGCATATGGCCCCAAGCGTCGCACCGAAAGCTGCAGCATCTTTGGCAACAGCAATTTTGGTGAGCAACGCGAGAACCGTAGAGGTCGCACTTGGCCTGATTAAAGTTGATTCTCTTGTAGATCACGAACTGGAATCGGGTGCCTCCATATCGAGCATTGCTGGTGGTGTGGGGCCCCAGCGGCCGCTGAACAACGAGACATACTCGGCCTTCAAGAGCGGCAACGTGGTCAAGGGCATACTCTGCCCCTCGCTGACCAACTCCTTCAAGCAGAGCTCCCTGGAGCGCAGCTATCTGACGTATACGCACCGCCAGCGGCAAAAGTCACTGATCATCGTGAATGTGGTGGACTTTGTGCTGAAGATAGTGCTGGCCCTCGTCTGGATGCTGCGTCGCCGGCAGCAGGGCCAGGGACCCCTGCAGAACGATGATGGAACGGTGGGTTCACCATTAACATTCAACCCTTGGCTAAAGCTTAGACCGAGCTGCCGCTCTTTTTTTTTTTGATTAAAAATCCTTTTACAGTACGAATCGATGGCCACGGCAATCACTTGGTCCATCTGCTGTGGAATTGCCAATATGGCCATCTGTTTCCTGGGCTACTGGCGCTGCTTTGCCAACAATTATTTGCACTGGGCCGCGGTCTGCACGTGGGTGCTCTTCAACATCCAGGGTGAGTGGATTGAGGGTCGTGTCGTAAATCACGCGTCACCTGCATAGGCAGTCAAAATCACTAATCCTTTGTCGTGCCTCGAACGGCGGTAGTCATAAATGTTTTACAACCATCTCTCCCCTACTCTGTCCCTACTCTGTTGCACAGGATTCGTTGGCCAGGGTGTGGGCTTTGCGGATCGCGAGTACCTGGTCTGGTACATTCTGTTCGTCATCTTTGTGCCGTATGCGATGCTGCCGCTGCCCCTGAAATGGTGCGTGGTGGGCGGCACCATCACCGCCAGCTGCCACCTGGCCGTAATTACCATCATCAAGCTGCAGCACGGCGAGGTAAATGCCAAAAATGTTCGCTCAAACGTTTCGCAGGCCTCCTCATCTCATGTTGTGTCTCTTTTTGTGCGTGTGTTTGGTGTGCCTGCAGGCTAGCACCAATGCGGACTGCGTTCTGTTTCAGATCTTTGCCAATTTCATTCTGTACACGGCCATCAATGTGGCCGGCATGTATACCAAGTATCTGACGGATCGCGGACAGCGTTTGGCCTTCATCGAGACCCACAAGGCAATGGAGCACAAGAAGGAGTCCGAGAAGGAGTTGCAGCGCACCCAAAAGCTATTGGATTCAAGTAAGTTTAAACAGAGTGCTGCAAAAGGATTTATTTGGAACGCAAGTCTGTGTGGAATATTTAAATTTCACACCAGAGATTCGTTTATATTTTATTTTGCTCAGAAACGAATATTCTCAGCTTTGTTCGGGGAACCCTAAGTACAGCCTAAAATAGAACTGAAAAGTAATTCTCAGTAAATTCAACAGGGGCGCGGCGGGTCGAGTGCTTTGGTGCTTGAGTTTATATTGCATTTTGTGGCCTGTCCCATTAATTAATCCCTGCCCACTTTTGCAGTCCTCCCGAACATTGTGAACAACCAAATACGCAGCGAAATGTACAAGGGCACGGATCCCACCGTGGAGACGCAGTTCAACAAATTGTACGTCTATCCCATGGACAATGTGAGCATACTCTTTGCCGACATCAAGGTAAGTACAATGGATGCCATGGCAGGAGGAGTCTCAAATATTTATTATCTAAATTTACTTGGCACAGGGTTTCACCGAATTGGCCAGCAAGACATCGGCCCAGCAGCTGGTGAAAATATTAAACGACCTATTTGCCCGATTCGATCGTATTGCAGAGGTATGTAGGGGGCTGGGGGCTGGGGGCTTGGGGGCTGCTTTATTGAACAATTTGCGAACTTTGCAGGACAATCACTGCCTGCGTGTGAAGCTGCTGGGCGATTGTTACTACTGTGTGTCGCAGTTCGAGAGCGACAACTGGAAGACGCGACCGGATCACGCTGTTTGCAGTGTGGAAACTGGTCTGCACATGATAAAGGCCATTAAGGATGTGCGCATACACACTCACGTAAGTGTGGCCCCATAATGAAGTGGGCGGGTGGGGGTTGAGGGGGCAGCCTTGAAGCCAGTTTATTTAAATTTGTTGAGAGAGCAGCAGAGAATGCAGCAAACATTTTTGAGAATGTCCACAGACATATTTTCAACACGTTTTTTTGACAAATTTAATGGCCATTTTTTTCAGTTATTTCAGCTGCTTTTTTTTTGGTTTTATTTTTGCTGCAAAATCTCGTATCCTGTCTCCGACCCTGGCCTAGAGGAGCAGCGGCAGCAGCGGCACGAGCAGAGCTGTGGACGTGTTGACAATTCATTTGTATGCAAATCTCAACAGACCAAAAGGCAAACGAGCAATGGCAATGGGGCAATGGGGCAATGGCAAACGGGCAAAGGCAAAACTGGCGTGGCGGCCAAAGCTGCGACAACGAGAGCTGTTAAAATTTCATACGACAAAGTGCCACACAGAGAAATTTAATTGATTTTTATTTGCCATTTGGTTTGCCGCAGAAAACGTTGGGGAATCCCCCGCCCGCCCGTCATATAGTACCACGTCCCTCGGGGATTTATGCAGCCTGCATTCGCATAATTGGTAGTCGTCGCGACTTAATTGCTGCGCCATTCTCACGATTGACTGACTAAATGATTGACAAACACAACAGACTGACTGACCGACTGACTGACTGACTGACTGACAGAAGAGTATTAAGTGCCCTGTGTGGGTCATGTGTATGGTCTTGCATATTTTAAGAGCCGAACGACGTTTGCCTTCCAATTGCAGGTGGACCTAAACATGCGCATCGGCATCCACAGCGGTTCGGTGATGTGCGGCGTTCTTGGTAACAAGAAATGGCATTTTGACGTCTGGTCTAATGATGTTATCATTGCAAATCACATGGAATCCGGCGGCATACCCGGGTAAGTACAACCAGTCACGTTCTGGCGGGTGGCTGCGGGCAACCGTAAGCCAAAACATCTGCGTGAGCTGCCATCGAAATTGGGCCACAAATTTATGCTCAAAGCTTTTTGGGGATGTTGGGGAATTACACATTATCAACGTAATAAACAGGAATAACCATCTGTGGATATACACGTACGTATGTCCGGTATAAAGAGGAATATCATTCATTAGCATAGCAAAATCGGCAGTTTGTTCATTAAATTACTTGCCAAAACTGGCCCAACTTTAGTTGCAGTTGCTGCCCCGCAAGCTGAGCCAAAAACTATACTCCCAAAAAAGGCTGAAAAACTTACTCGCTCTTGGCCAAATCTAAGTCTGGCCGCAGTTTTAATTGGCCAATTTGCGGGTCCTCTGGCTTCTCTCTCTGGGCTGGGCTCCTTGAACAATTGGTAAGCCATTTTGCAAGCTTGGCGTGTTTAGACACAAGAAACCAAAATAATAGAATGGAAACACACAGTGAAAACCAGAAGCCAGAGGCCAGAGGGAAATTCGAGGCAACCGCAAGCCCGAAACAGAAACAGAAACAGAAAATGAAAAGCCTCACAAATGAAAAGCTCAATTTAATGCAAAATGCTTTGATGTAATTGTGGCCTAGGCGGCAGGCAGTAACCAGAAACCAGTAACCAGTAACAGAACAGAGCAGAGCCAGAACTACAGAACCAAACCAAAACCAAAGCCAGTCCCAAGACCAGACCCAATTATAAGGGGCGCGCACACACACAGTCCATTGGAGGCGGTAGGTTGCCACACGCCCACACAAAAAACACAAAGGAAAAATTGAGTAGAAAGAAAATTGGCGAAGGAATGGCTGTAGGGGGGGTGGGTGTGGGGTAAATCACCACGCACCTTCATTGAAAGCGTATGCAAATATTTGAATTTAATTTTGGCCAAACTACATTTGGAAATCGCTCCCATCCCATCCAATCCACTCCACTCGACTCCACTCTCCTCCACTCTACTCCACTCTCCTCCTTGCTCTACTCTGCAGGCGCGTTCACATCTCGGAGGCGACGCTCAAGTGCCTCAATGACTCTTACGAGGTGGAGCCGGGCAATGGCGGCAGTCGGGACAATCATCTGAAAATGCTGAACGTCAAGACCTTCCTCATCAAGCGCACAGAGCCACTGCGGTAAGTTGGAGCCCGCTAAATTGTTAAACCCTTAACGCATTAACACTTTTCCTTTGCCTTCCGCACACAGACCCAAGCGCCGCTTTGGCACGCGCAGCAGCGCCCACCTGGCTGGTAGTGTGGCTGCCGCCTCCACTTCGGGGGCAGGTGCCTGCTCCACCACGCCGACGGCCACGCCCGTACCGACACCCGCCCTGCCCAAATCCATATCAGCCAGCGGCAGTGGCAGCATTGGCGGTGGCACCACAACGCTAGGCGGCGATGGGGCGAGCATCGACGGACGGAGCCTGGAGTACGCGGCCACCATTGCGGTGCCCGCCCAGCAGCCCTCGCAGCTGCTGCAGCAGCAGCAGAAGAAGAACATTTCCCTCAATTCGCTGCCCAACGTGGTCGAGGGCGTGGCCATGGACAGCCGCCGCCTGAGGAATGGCGGTGCAGGGGCCGGCACGGGGGCCAACAGTGTGGCCGGGGCACCGTCCGGTATGTCCACGGTATCCTCACCCACGGCAATGATGTCCGCGCCGCTGGAGCAGCAGCTGCGGCCCAGGAATGTGGCCAGTATCCAGAACCTAGCGGAGGCAATCGAGGGCAAGGGTCTCATAATCGAGGATGAGTCCACCACCGATTGGATACCCGAGATTCCCTTCAAGAATGTGAGCAGACATCTCTGTCATCTCTCTGGGCATCTATCTAATCGTTTTGCTGTTTCCATAGCTAAACAGTCCCGAGGAGGGTCTGAACCGTGCCGATTCCATACTCGTGGATGCCAAGCAGGAGCATCGTGTGTCCGTCACAGTTCTGGATGAGGAGGTGCGTACTATGCCCACCGAAAATCATTCTACCTTCGCTTATCCTCACAATCCCCGCTTATAGATCGACGAGTTCATAGAGCAGAATATCCAAATCAATTCGAATAAGGAGATCCGCAGGGAGTACCTGAATCCCTGGACCCTGAAGTTCAAGGACAAATGCCAGGAGCAGAAGTTCTGTCAGCTGCGCGAGGATATGTTCCGGTGCGTATGGTGCGGGTATACGGATATACGGGTGTTCCAGGCTAATGGAAAGCAAACAATAGGCCCTGTCCCCCGTTCAGGGCACTCTTAATTAATGAACTGTTGCTAATTGATTTCTGCCTTTTGCTGCTGCTCCCTCCCCCCATCCTGCTGCTGTTCAGCTCCAACATGCTGTGTGTGTTCGTCATTTGGATATTTATGGTACTGTGCCAGGTCATCATCATTCCCCGGTGCACGCGTCTCATTATTTGCCTGTCGGTTGGCACTGTGGTCCTCACCTTCTGCTGTGTCCTGGTGATGGCCGAAGAGTTTCCAGGTGAGCCATAGCCCCCCATAGTAGATGCCCCATTTTGCCTTGCTATATGAACTTTCCTTTTGCATAGGTCTGCCACGCTTCCTGAAGGTGAACTCCGCCAAATTGGTGCATCAGCGGCAGCGTCGCACGCTGTTCATCTGCGGTGTGATCATCTCCATGTGCATGCTCAGTGCCATTGGCTTGGTCCTGTGCCCCTCCTCCACGTACATTGGCACCGCCGATGAGCACACGCGACTGCTGCGACGAACCCTCTACTCCTCGAATGCCTCCTCGGTGGCGGAGAAGGAGTACAAGCTGAATGTCTATCTGTCGGCCACCATTCATCACAACATCACCATCAGCACGCCCAGCAGTGGGGGCGCAGCCACCCCAGCTGCCTCCCTGGTGGATGCGCTGATGAATGAGAACATCACGAACGCCCCCACCGAAGAGCTGATGAGGAGCACCCTGGCCAGCGCCCTGAACCTCACACAGCCGCTGGAGTCATTCGAGCAGTCGCATCGTCCCTACATGCTAACCAACAACGGACACAGTGTCTCGTTGAACAACTTCAGCTACGTGGATCTGTATGGGCTGCCCAGAACCACCGACATCGAGGGGGAGTGCGCACATCCCGAGTATCTGGTATTCACGTGGGTGCTCTGTCTCGTGTCGCTGGCGACTGCCCTGAAGCTCTACTATTTGGTCAAGGCGCTGATGGCACTGGGCATGGTCGGTTTCTACACCACACTGATTGTGCTCAAGTTCAGCACGGGCGACGTCTTCAATCTGGGGGACCTGTCCAGGCTGGGCATGCCGCTGGGCGTCCAGATGCTGATACTGCTCATCTCGTTCCTCATAATGGTCTGCTATCATGCTCGACTAGTGGAGGTAAGCAGTGGCCAGTAGATTTGCTTTGCCACCTCTCCTTAATGCCATTTGCCGTTTGCCATTCCTTAGGTCACCTCTCGTCTGGACTTTATATGGAAGGAACAAGCGGAGCGTGAACTGACCAACATGAAATCTAATCGTGCGCTTAATGACACATTAATTAAGGTAACATGCCACCCACCCGCCTGCCAGCCTGCACCTTTTGTGGCTCATTAATTTAACTGCCGGTTTGCAGAACATTTTGCCGGACCATGTGGCCGCCTACTACCTATCCGACGAGCACACGGACGAGCTCTATTCGAAGATGCACAACCTGTGTGGAGTCATGTTCGCCTCCATTCCGAATTTCCAGGACTTTTACTCCGAGGACATTGACAATGGCAAGGCCTGCATACGCATCCTGAACGAGATTATCTGTGAGTTGATTGATTAAATGCTTTGCCCCCGCTGCCCTCTGTCTAATGGAATCTGTGCTGTCCCACCATTCGCTTGCAGGCGACTTTGATGAATTGCTGGAGGAGCCGCGCTTCGCTTCTGTGGAGAAAATCAAGACAGTGGGCGCCACCTACATGGCTGCCGCCGGTCTCAATCACGAGAGTCTGCGTGCCCGGGGCGAGACCTCCGAGGATAGCGTGTGTGACCTGGTGGAGTTTGCCTTTGCCATGAAGCAGAAGCTGGAGGAGATCAACGGCGATGCCTTCAACAACTTCCAGCTGCGCGTTGGCATCTGCAGTGGTCCGCTGGTCAGCGGTGTGATTGGTGCGCGCAAGCCCGTCTACGACATTTGGGGGAATACGGTGAACGTGGCCTCGCGCATGGACTCCACGGGCGAGAACTGGCGTGTCCAGGTGTCGGCCAATACAGCGGAACTGCTCTGCTCCAGGGGCTATACTTGTGTGGTACGTAGGACGACACTCTTCCCTTTGGTCATTTCTTGGAGGTGTAACTTTAATGCTCCCTCAGAAACGCGGTGAAGTCAATGTGAAGGGCAAGGGCATGATGACCACCTACTATGTGCATCCCAAGGGCATCACGGAGAGCCAACTGATTTCACCTGTACGCCTGCCAGCGGGCATACCCCTGGCCCAAACACCGAATCTTCAGCGTCAGACCTCGCACCATGGCTCCTTCAGTGCCGTGGTCTTTGGCATGCTTCAGGCGAGCAAGCGCAGTACAGCCATAGCCGGAACACGTACGTTTCATCCACAGTACTTCCCACTTAAATCCATTCCTAACTTTTTCGCGTTTCAGCCACTGGCACACCATCGCCGCAGATTCGTCGCGGTCATCGGGGCAGCACCTTCAGTTCGGTTCGACTGTCCCAGAAGTCGACGCATGTGAATCCCGTGCGACGCAATACCACGCGCGTACGAGGACGTTCCTATCGCCAGAAGAAGGTGACTAATATATAATAAAATAAATAAATCCTGTGAGAGTATTTTGTAATTTCCCAAAAAAAAAAAAACACTTTCAGAGTTCATCAAACAATTCGATTGTGACCCAGGCCAGTTCCAGCTATATGCCATCATTTCGACGTATCGATCAGATTGAAACGACCATATCGAAGAGTCACAACGATGCGTTATAGCCAACGACGCGCAGCAATTGGGTCTAAGTCGATCTCAGAAACGAATGAAGAAACTGTCTGACGAATTTATTTTTGGAACGATTTTTTTATGCTTGAAAGTACAGTTGTGCTCGCTGATTTTTGGACTGTATGTGTGCGTTAATTAATGGAAACCGCCACTTAGCTGGGCTGGCTACTTAGTAGAATTTTTAAAACACAATCCGTGAAATCGTAGATCAAAATGAATGTACAATTTCTTGCATTATCTCTCAGCACAGTTCTAGTCGTTAAACTTAAGATGGGTGTCTTGTCCACTTTCTGTGTGTGTGTTTCAATGTCTAGAGGGTAGAGTCTAGAGTTTAAGATATGTAGATGCCCAACCAAATGATGCCAATGATCCTACTAACCCTGTTCAATTCCATCAAAATATACAACATAATACCCATTTTAGGCTAATTTTTGTAGCATTAGTAGACCATTTTAAAACCCATAAATCCCATAGAAAAATCTCATGTTCAAATTGTTGTACAAATCTCTTCACAGTTTTTTTTTTTCGTGTCTTTTTAGCCGAGAAATTTAAATGTAAATAGATTAAGGGAAAACCCACGTGTACTATAATATTTTATGTGTATTTGTGTGTAAACTTCCTATTAAAAAGCCATAGATAAGTGAGAGGAGAACCTACAAGTTGAAAACATATAAAATTGTAGAGTTATGATCAGCCCACGATGGTACCAAACAAAATTTATGCACCCCATATTGTAATTAAATAAAAGTTAATACAAATAAATGTGATAAATTAAAGCGATCCAAGCTCGCGGAGGGAAACTGAGTTTTCCCATTCAAAATGTGGCTCCGGTCCGTAATCATAACGGAAGCCAGACAAATGGCCAAAACACACACAGCCATGGCCATAAATATAGTGATGCAGAGGGGGAGATAAGAGCCGAGCGAGACAGCGTCCGAAGCTATTAATACCCCGGAAGATCGAACTATTTATATGATGGCTATGAAATGTAGTCATCATGGAACCATCTCTATCTTAAAAAGATTTGCTCTTCGTTTCATAATTGCTATGGCAGCTATAGTTTTGATTTTGATTAAATTTCATTTTCAGATTTCAGTTTTATGTATGTAAAATCCTATAGAAAGGGAGTATAGGGAGTAGCTACATACATACAGATATGGAAGCTATAGTGGTCTGATCTGGTTTCCATGTGTGGTCGGTCCACTTCCTTTCTGCATTACAAACATCTGTCTGCTCAAAATCATAATACCTCATCCAAAAATGTATAGAAAACCCGAAACCGAAACCATTCATTTAAATGAATGCAACCGCCACAAAATACTATTTTTATCACAGATGCGTCTGGCTGCACTAGTAGGGCCATGGGAGGGACGAAGCGGAGCGGAACGGGGCAAATGGACAGCTGGAGCCGAAAGCGAATTCCACTTGTCTGCTGCCTGGCCAGACGTCGCCGTCGCCCTCGCCCGCGCCCTCATCGCTGGCGCTGCTCATCCTCTGCTTCCTTCCCACGTTGGTTACGTTTCGTTGAGCGAAATGATGAGCCTATTCAAATTGTCATTTGAATGCACGCACACACAGTAGTAGGGGGTAGGAGTAGAAGGGGGATGCACACAAGACAACATCATGAACGAGAGGTAGCAAGAGAAGGAACTATTACAAATGTTGACCCAAACCACTTCTTCCCTTCCACTTATTGGCGGCAGTGTTGTGATAAGATATGCTCTCCCCTCCCTCCCTCTCTCTTTCTCTTTCTATTGTGATGCGTGTGGTTTTCAAGAAGTGGAAGAAGAATAGCCATATGCTGCATATGAATGAACGACTGCGAGTCAATTTCACATTTCACTGCCTTGTTGGTGCATTTTTAATGTAGTTTTGCCGCTTCCTCTTCCTCTGTCTGCGAGCCAAAACGCCCACCTAAAGTGCGCTACAGCAGAAACGTTAGGGCATATTTCTGACAATAGGAAGAGATGTCAAATCCAACCGAAAGCAGCGCACTCTACGAGTATCATATACCCGAACCTTTTTCCTGTCTGCACTTTTGCTTCCGCTGGCGGCGCCGACACCGGGCGCAACATGTGTTTGTTTTCTGGTACATCTATGTGTATGTAGGTGCGTGCATGTAAATAAACGTGTATGCGTATGCGTGCGTCTGTGTATTTCATTCATAAATTTGGAAGAAGACAAAAGATAGGCAGCGGACATGAATGAACAGGGGAAGAGCAAACACATGCCGTTTTACATTCAAATTCCGTTTCTATTTCGGCGGCGACAGTTGCAAGTGGCTCCGGGCAGCGTTTTAACGACGAAAAGATATACAGCACCGTAGCGTTTGAACGAACACAACATTTAACAACAATTAACCGGAGTTTTGATCTGCAAACAATATAGTGCATATACAATACAATAAATACAATATACTAAAATTGTTCGACATTCGCTCGCAGGTGGCCGTTTAGGGAATTTTATATATTTTTCTGAATATTTTGATTTTCAAGGGGTGTTTAACTATTTAAATAGAGCATTGTTAAGTGGGCCAAGTTCTCGGTATATTTACGGTATATTATGCATTAGATAAGCTATATTTGGGTATATCGGTATAAGTAAATTTAATCAATTTCCAATTTATGTATTCCAATATATTAAGATACTTTTCAGAATAACCGCCAAACTCCATTTAGCGCACAAAAAATACTGACATTTTTCGCTCTCAAATCGTGGTGAATTCCCCTCTCTTTGTGGTGTGAGCCGCATGTTCCTAACGGGAACGTAGATTATTTGTTGCGACGTTCCTGCGCGTTCCCGTAAGATACATTTGATTTATTGAGGAATTGGATAAAATTATTGGTTTAGGGCAGAGAGGGCCAACTAGCTAGTAATCTTAAACCGAATATCAAAATCGAAGTATATCAACGCATTTTGTCAGAATATATGCGGTATATTTACGGTATATTTCTGGGGTATTTTTGGGCTCACAATTTAAACGCAGAAATGAGTGTGGAGAGCGTTTTGAGTGCTCTCTTTCGACTGGGTCATGGCAAGGTATGGCCCCAGTATTAAAATGGCCGAACTTTTTTTAATGACCTCGTAAGGACCTAACCCTGGCCCCGAAGGACTAAACATGGCGTGGGTGCGCGAAAGCACAAAATCCCCCACGGTGAGTTATGTGGTGAGGTGGGTTTAATCTTGAAAGCTTCGGATTTTGTGACCTCATACGTCACACCTCATACCCTTATCCTTGCGGCGCAAACAAAGGTTCAACTTCAAGTTCAAAGCTTGAAACGTGTATTTACCGCGAAATTCGAATAATAAATAACAAATGATAACACAAGTAAACAGTTATACGGCGATGTTATCTTATCTAGGTCAAAAACAAAAGTCCTTGTACTTTAGGTTTCAAAGCAGCTTGGACAACAGAAGTTTAACTTTTGAAAGGAAATCCACAAACAAGTCGTTGATATGTAGCAAATGTGTGTAGTTATCATGTGTAGATACCATGTACAAAAGGGACATTTTTTAGTACCTTCTTTGTTTAAACTATATTTGATAAGTAATAAATTAAATGGGACTCATTAAAATGAAACCGATTGTAGAAAATTGATTCATCTGTCTGATTAAATGATATTTTTGGTCTTTAAAGTCCTAACTAGTTAGTAATATTAAACCGAACATCAAAATCGAGGAATATCAAAGTGTCCGTCAGTATATTTACGGTATATTATAAAAATTCTACGGTATATTTCGGTATATATTCCGAGGGTTAGGTGGTATATTTTGTCGATAAGTCCGCGGTCACATTAACATCGAAATTTTTGCTGCGAAAGGTTGGACCGCGGATGCGTGCGTTTTCGTTAAAAACATACACACTTGTGTGCGAGCTAAAATCCGTTTAACTAAAGACTTCGTGTCGTTTAATTTAACTGTCGAGTGTGTAGGGCAAACATTTTGTGTTCGTGTGATTTTAACGCATTTATTTATCTCTGGCAAAGTGCATTTTCGGTTTAGCGGCTGCCACAAAACAACACAAGTGGACTCATAATTTCGTCATTGCGCGAGTGGTACAAATGAGAAATGCAACACTGCGGCCTGTGGAGATATACAAGGCGTTGATTAATTAAACAATATACTGCGTTTTTCGGACGGGAAATTGGCGCCAGAAATATAAGTGCAACTTGTAAACGCAATATCATTTGCACGCTGCAAGTTGCAAGTACACCTGGACACCCGGAAAAGAGCTGCCTGATATGAGAGCGAGCACAAAATGCTGCTGAAAAAGAAACGCTATATGTACGAAGAGAGAGACGGCGCTATTGACGTGCTCGTCGTCGAGCCAAGCAGCAACAACAACAAAATGGCCGATACACGCGAAGTGCGCATTGAAGAGCAATTAAAAGTGAAAATTGGTATGTAAATTAGTGCGAAATCAATGAAAAACCAATCGTTGGCATAAAAGAACGGACAGTGCATTGGCGGGCAGTGAAGTTTGGCCGCCAGCAATGATTTTACTGGGTGCAAAGTGTGAAGGAATGTGGACAGCGTCGCCCAGCAGTGTGTAGGCAGCGCTGGAATATAAATTATTAACAAAACACCAGCAAAAGCCTTGAAAGTGACAAAAGAGTGCGAAATACAATGGCAATGTTAATTGGCTTTCAATTGAGTGCAATAAAAACAAAGCTGAAATGCAGCAAACATACATTTTTGTACAGAAAATGCATTTTGTGTGCAAGAGCAGCAACGTGCTGTCCCGCTTGCTCTTGCGTGTCAATCGACAACGGTCGTTGTGTGCGTGTGTGTTTCTCTCGATTTTTCGGTGTGTGGTGTGGTGTTTTTTCGTGCAGCAAGCGACAAACTAGCATTAAAATTACATTTGTTGTTGCTGGCAGCTACTGATTCTGCTGTTGGTGGTGCTGGCAACACGATTGCTGCTACTTGCCACCCGACAATGGCTTGGCTGAATGTTACGGCATTCAGCTCGCCCCCGCCTGCCCACCGTTTGCATGCGCCCCTTTTTGTGAATGAATTTCAGTCGAGTGTCTCTCTGTGTGTTTTTCTGTGTGTGTGTGTGTGCGCGCGTTGTGTATGTGTGTAGCGCGCAGCTACACCAACACGAGATCCAGCAACAGTGTGTGGGTTTTTTCATGAATGGAATTTTCGAATTCGGTGTACTTTTCTCTTGGGTCGCTCGCTCGCTCGCTGGCGACGACCGCCTACGAACACATTGGCGAAAAACTCGGGTTTTTATGAATGATTATCATTGAGAGTCAGAGCCAGGCCAGCGCGACACCAAGCATCGATTAATGGCTCGCTCTCTCTATCTCTCTCGCGTGTATCGGTAAAAGGTCAAACTCATGAATGACAATCCCCGCACACACTCTTACTCACCATCATCATCATCTCTCTGACGCTCCTTCTCTATCACCACGCACGCTTACCTGGCGAGCGAGCGAATGAGCAAAGCACCGTTTGGGGCTTTTTGGTTGCGGTTGTTTTTTCGACTGGTTTTACATTTCCTGCTGTTGTCGTTGTTGTTCTCCCCCCCACTCCATCTTCTCCATCCGCTCTGATTTCAATTTCACACCTGCATGATAAAGGGTCACCCCATCCTATCACTCCATGCCCCATGCTCCCCATTCGTACACGCATTTGATACACATTTATTTTTACCTCTTTTTCAGCATATTTATGCCATGCCATGCCATGCCATGCCACGCCATGCAGTGCTCCTCTCTCACTCACTCGCTTACTTTGAATTTCATTTTC